AACCTCACAGGAAGGGAGAGGGGCTGGAGGTTGAGTTCAATCCCCAATGGCCAATGATTTAGTCAATCATGAGTATGTAATGAAGCTGCCATAAAAACCCAGGAAGACAGCTCCTTGGTTCTTTTTAGGAAATGTTCAGGGTTGGCGAACACATGGAGATTTGGAGAGAATGGCATGCTGGAAGGCATGTAAGCTCCCGCCCCTTTCCCCATACCTGGCTCTATACATCTCTTCCATATGACCATTCCTGAGTTGTATCTTTTTAGAGTAAACTGGTGATCCAGTGAGTAACGTGTTTTTGTTGAGTTCTGAGAGCCACTACACAAAATCTGAGGATTTGGTCATGAGAACTTCTGGTTTCTAGCTGATGGGTCATAAGCACAGGGGCCAACCTGGATCAGTGATTGACATCTGAAGGTGGGGAGAGGGCCATCCTGTGGGGCTGAGCCCCTTACCTGGGGGATCTGATACTGTTTCCAGGTAGTGTCAGAAGTGAGTTGAATCATGGGACACCCTGCTGGTGTCCCACATGGTCACTGGGAACAGAATCATGTGGCTTTTCTGGCTTTAGAGACCAGATCTCTATCTCTTGAACTTTGAGCTTTGGAGCATCTGAGCTTTGAGCTTTGAGCATCTGAGCCTTGTGGGCTGCTTGTTTGCCCTGCCCTGTCTGCAAGAGTTTGTCACAGAGTCTGAGTCTTATAGACGTGACATAGGATGCTCCCAAGTCCCATGCCCTGGCCATACACAACGTCAGCCTCTTCCCTTCTCTTCGCATGGATTCAACATCAGTCTTGGGAATAAAATCTTCCTTATGGCTCACTCTCTTTTCTTTTAAGCTTGTACAGCAAACCCATCCTCTCCATTGATCAGGGTTTTTGATAACAGCAGAAGATACTATTTCCATCCCGTGTGGTTCAGCACACATCCTGTTTGAGGGATTTTTACTAACCAAGGAAGGAGGCCCCACCCTGCCCCAGCACCAAAGTGGGGGACCCCAGGGCAATTTCAATCTGCATCCTGTGAATCTCAGCTTCTCAGAGAACCACAGGTGCTACAGCTGGTACAGCAGCAACCCTTATGTGTGGTCAGCCCCCAGTGACACCCTGGAGCTTGTGGTCATGGTAGGTGCCCCTCCTCTGAGGGGCTCCAGCTGGCTGTCCAGGACCTTGGCATTGGGTGGGAACACAAAGAGATGCACGAGGAAACAAGAGCAGGGCAGTAGAGTGTCATTGCTCAGAGGACCATGAAGAGAGAAGCACTTGTCACCTTCACCACATTCGACTTTCACATGCTCTCCTAGAGTTCTCCACACAGTGTCCTTTGAAAGCACAGGGTCTGCTGAAAAAAGGAGAAGCCAGTGTTCACCTTAAGGGGCATTGTTGAGACCACAGATAGCTAACATCTTTAGATGGACCCACCTCCAATTTTTCTTTTTTAATTTTTTTACAGATTTCATTTATATATTTTCAGAGAGGGAGAAGGAGAGAGAAAGAGAGGGAGAGAAACATCAATGTGTGATTGCCTCTTGAGCATCCCCTACTGGGGACCTGGCCCAAAACTCAGGCATGTGCCCTGACTGGGAATCAAAAACCAGCAACTCTTTGGTTCTCAGGTTGGTGCTCAGTCCACTGAGCCACACCAACCAGGACTAATTATGAGCTGCGTTCTGGGTGTTGCTTAGCCTTCAAATGGTTGAGTCATGACTTGACATTCATCATCTCCAACAGAGCCTACGGTCTGTATATGAGGATAGCCCCAGCAAGGATGGATGGTGTGACTGACCTTAGAGTATGACGTCCAGGAAAGACACTCAGGTTTAGAGGAGATCACCTGATGCCTCTAATTAGCTGGGTGACACATGACATGGATTTATCTTCTTTGGGCCTCTTTCCTTATCTGCAAACTGTTGGGAACAAATGCTACCAACTTCACCAAGTTAGCAAGAGGGTTCAGTGAATGAATTATTGCCAGCCCCCCAGAACAGAGGTTGACATAAAACACCTTTCAAGTCTGGTTAACACAAATATGCCTCAAAAGATAGTTTTATCTTCAGGATTTTACACATTGTTGGAATCCATTGTTCCACCTTGAGTGGCCCCATGCACCCAAGGTCTACATTGCTGAGTTCTGTAACAAAAAAGGAAGGGGGGGACTAAGAATTATTAATAATATATGCTCTCTCCATTTCCACACCAACATTAAAGACTTACTATAAAACTACAATAATCAAGACAGTGTGGCCCTGGCTGGTGTGGCTCAGTGGACTGAGCACCAGCCTGAAAACCAAAGAGTCACTGGTTCGATTCCCAATCAGGGCACATGCCTGGGTTGTGGGCCAGGTTCCCATAGGGGGCATGCCAGAATCAACCACACATTGATGTTTCTCTCCCTCTCTTTCTCCCTCCCTCCCCACCTCTCAAAATAAATAAATAAAATCTTTTTTAAAAAAGACAGTGTGATATTGGCAAAAGAATAGACAAATAGATGAATTGAATAGAATAGAAAGCCCACCAGCAGACCCACACAAATACAGTCAACTGGTCTTTGACAAAGAAGCAAAGGCAATGCAATGAAGCAAAGATAGTCTCTTCAACAAATGGTTCCAGAACAACTGTATATCCACCTGCAAAAAAATCAATAAATTAATAATAATAATAATAATCTACACATAGACCTTACACCCTTCACAAAAATTGACTCAAAATAGATCAGAGATCTAAATTTGAAATGTAAACTATAAAGCCCTTACAAGATAGAACTTTCTTACTATTCCAGGGTGTCTATTTCCTCTCTTCTGACCCAGACACCCATTCACTGGTAAACTTACCTTCATGCTATGGATGAAGTTTAGGTTTAAAAAGATGAGAAATTTGGCAGGGGGGGTAGAATGAATGTGGGAGGTTGGGGTGGTAGGTAGAGTGGAAGAGAGTAATGGGGGGTGGGAATGGAGACAACTGTAATTAAACAAAAAAAATAAAAATAAAAAAATTGAAAAATGAGAAATAGGCCTAGGCTGGGGGGTTCAGTTGAAGTGTTGCCCTGTACACCCCAAAAAAATGTTTGTAGGTTCAATCCCATCAGGGCACATACCTAGGTTGCAGTTTCGACCCCAGGTCAGTGTGCATATGGGTCATTCTCTCTCTCTCTCTCTCTCCCATCAATAAGCATATCCTCAGGTGAAGATTTTAAAATAAAAATTAAAAATAAATTAATTAAAAATCAAAAGATGAGAAGTTGTGCTGGCCAGGTAGCTCAGTTGGTTAGGGTGTCAGACCAATACACCAAGGTTGTAGGTTCAATCCCTGGTCAGGGCACATACAGGAATCAGCCAATGAATGCATCAACAAGTAGGACAACAAATGATGTTTTTCTCTCCCTTCTTTCCTCTCTCTCAAAATCAATAACAAAATTTTAAGATGAGCATTAAGATATTTTATGGCAGAGGAGAAAGACAAAATGTCCTATGGGTCTGGAGACATCTTTCTTATCTACAGGCAAGCTTGCCCCATTGTCTCCCTCAAAGGAGCTACCCCTGCCTCCCCACCCCCCACGCATTGGTATATAACTGTTTGCACAGGCTGAGTGTGATTGAAAACCTAGCACCTACGTAACCAGCTTCCTCACACGCATGGCCTGTGGTCAGCATGGAAACTGGTGGGTGGCCCTGGGTTCTCACTCACTACTTCCTTCATGAGCACTTCCTGTGTACTCATCAAGGCAAAGGTCTCCAAATCATGGACAGTTGGTTTGAAACACTCAACTTTATTCAGAAGCCCCAGTATTAAAGGATAAAACAGTAGCAATCAGACAGGCAACCCTGGACCCAAGGAGAGCAGAACTTCCGGCTTCAGGTCAAAATCTGCCTAGGGGTTTGATTGGCATCCAAGCTACCATTTCAATCAAGAGTGGACACCATTGCAGGAACAAGTATAAAAAAGTATGACATATGGACAATAACAAGGGTGGGGTAGAAGTGGGAGGGAGGTGGGGAGGGCTGGGGGTGTGGACTGGGATGGGGTAAAAGGCAGAAAACTGTACTTGAACAATAATTAAAATAATAAAAAAAATAAAATAAAATAGTGGACATCTCACTTTAGCCTCTTTTCCAGGATAGCTTCTTTTATATTTTTTTAAGATTTTTTAATTTATTTTTAGAGAGAGGGAAAAGGAGGGAGAAAGAGAGGGAAAGAAAAATCAATGTGTGGTTGCCTCTCATGCACCCCTACTGGGGACGTGGCCCACAACCCAGGCATATGCCCTGACTGTGGATCAAACCAGTGACCCCTTGGTTCACAGGCCCACACTCAATCCACTGAACCACACCAGCTGAAGCTCCAGGGTGGCTTCTAACCAAGATGTTATACACACATAAGAATGACGTCTTCCCTCAAAGTGTTAGAGAACAGCCCTGACCAATATGACTTAGTGAATGGATCTGGAGATTAATTTGCTCAGTGAAATGAATGAGTGAGAGAAAGGCAAATACCATATGATCTCACTTGTATATGGAATCTAATGAACCAAATAAACTAATGAACAAAACAGTCACAGAGGCATGGACACATGGGACATACAGACAGCCATCAGAGGAGAGGGGTGTCAGGAGACTGGTTGAAAAGAAGGTGAAGGGATTAAGCAAAAAAATTATATATATATATAATAACACACACACACACACACACACACACACACACACACACACACATAGACACAGCCAACAGTGTGGTGATAAGTCAGAGGGAAAGAGGATGAAGGCAGAGGTGGAAGTGCGTAGGTGGAGGTGGGGGGCAGGTAAATGGGAACAGAAAGAGACTTTGCTTGGGGTGATGGGTGTGTGATGCAGTGTGCAGACAATGTTTTATTCAGTTGTGCCCTTGAAACCTGTACCCCAATAAATTCAACAAAAAAACACTGCTAATAAGAAACACACTCAAGTCAAAAAAATAATTTTAATATGAATGTAACTTTATTATATTTTAATATTTAATTTCTCCTGTATAACAGACTGAAATGATGTATTTATGTAAGAAACAGAACATTTTTTTGCTTAAAGGATTGCATTTTATTGAAACACGTGTAACAAATCTTTTTTATCTTATCATTATCCTCTCACTTTTTAAATTTTATTTACTTTTATTTTTTATTTATTTTTTTACTGTCGTAACAAATCTTTTTAGAAGATGGAGTTGTCATTCTATTCTGATGAAACCAATTGACCAATCCAAGCACATACATGCTGTACACAGAGAGCCAAAGTTAAACACACTTTTTCTTTTTTCATGATTCTAAGGTTTTTGCTGGAACACTGCCCCATGCCTTCCCTGGGCATAATGTCCACAGTTCAAATTTTAGACATTGAGGTTCAGGCGGGGCAGACAAGTGTCCGAGACCCTGGTTCGGCCTCAGAGAGGGTCAGCTGGGTCCTGAGCACCCTGCCCCTCCTCACGCCGCCTGGGCAGAGCTGGAGGAAGAACTGCAAATGTTCCTGTAACACGGTCACAGCAGAAGTCCCACGGCGGCTGGTGCCGGGCTCCACACACCACATCCTGTGTTGCTCGGGCTCCCAAACTCAGTCTCCACCCTGCTGCCCCACATTCGCTGGCAGCCTCTGCTATGCTTTCCACGGTCGCTGCCCTGCTCGGTGAGTTCCCACCTGGAAGGGAGCCGGGATCCAGGGTGCCTGGTTCGGCAACGTCTCATTATTCCTGTCTTCCAGGGCTATGTCTGTGCCAGCGGATCAGCGCCCAGAAACGTGAGTCCTTCCTCCAAAAGCCCCGAGTCCCTCTTCCGGGCTCAGATTGAGCGTGCTGTCCCCATTTCAAAATGTAGGCGCTGACCCAGAAATGAGTCTCTGGCAGGGCAGACAAACGCATCAGCCTGAGAACAAGTGGCTGAGGAGGCAGGGGCTCTGGCTGGCTAGGAGGGCTTGAGGCTACAGGCTGGGTAGAAATGAGGGTGGGGAGGGGCTCTATCTGGAACCCCAGCCTCCCATTCTCTTCCAGAGACCCTCTCGAAACCCATCATCTGGGCCAAGCCTGGTTCCGTAATTCCCAAAGGAATGGCAGTGATCATCTGGTGCGAAGGAACTTTCGGGGCCGTTGAGTACCAACTGCATTTTGACGGACTTCTTTCCTCCTTCGAAAGACCAACCCCCCCTGGAATTACGAACAAGGTCAAGTTCGCCATCCGGCTCATGACCCAACGCAGTGCAGGGCAATACAGGTGCTTCTACAGAGAGGGGGAGCTCTGGTCAGAGCCCAGTGACCCTCTGGATCTGGTGGTAACAGGTAACTACCCTATTCTCTAGCTTTCTGTCTCTTCCAAACCTCACTCAGACATTGATTGTCTTGGGGAACAGGGGTTTGATCACTTTTTATAGGGGTTATCTATTAAGAGTTATCTCTATGTCCTAGGACAGGATTTGTCTTAGGCCATGTTCTTCAGCTAAGAGACTCTGAGGTGAATGTTTGTGTGCAGGGAGGATGACTGGGGAGTGTCCTCAGAAAAAGCCCCTGTCATGGATGAGGGACACAGACTGGGCAGAGGAGGCTGGACTGTGGTACTTAGTCTGAACCCAGCCAAGCACATGGGAAACTCTAGACCAGAGATGGCCCTTCAAAGTGGTCTCAAAATGCTGCTAAGAGACCCCCAGTATCAACCAGTGACTGGATGAGAACCATTCCTAAGGAAGTTCCAGACAGATACCCTTGCTCTTGTAGCATTTATAGTCTTTATTTTTTTTAATCCTCAGCTGAGGAAGTGTTCATCAATTTTAGAGAGAGAGGAAGGAAGAGAGAGAAAAAATGGAGACAACCATAACTGAACAACAATTAAAAAAAAAATTTAAAGGAAAGAAATCCTGATACGCACTACGTGGGTGAACCTCCCATTGAAATAAGCCAGTTGCAAAAGGAAAATAACTGAATGATTCCTCTTGTTGGAGGTACCTAGAGTCATCATACTCATAGAGACAGAAGGTAGAATGGTGGGTGCTGGGGTGGGGGAGGGACAAGGAAGTTATGGTTTAACAGGGACAGAGTTTCAGTTTTGCAAGATGAAAACAGTTCTGTAGATAGATGCTGGTGATGGTGGCACTTAACACCACTGAACCATACACTGAGAAGTGCTTAAGATGGTAAATTTTATGGTACTTGTATTTTACAATTGAAAATAATGATGATTTTTTACAACACAGATGGCTGCCCCACCCCTGAGTCTCTGATGCAGTGGGTATGGGGCAGAGCCTGAAAGTTTGCATTTCTTTTTCTTTGTGCCCTCAGCTGAGGATATGCTTGTTGATTGGAGAGAGAAAGGTAGGGAGGGGAGAATGAGAGAGAGAGAAATCAATCAGTTGCCTCTCTCAGATGACCAAACCCACAGCCTAGGCATGTGCCCTGACCAAAAATCAAACCTGCCAACTCTCTGTGTATGGGATGACACTCTAACCACCTGAGCCATGTGGCCAGGCCTGAGGATTTGCATTTCTAACAAACTGGCAGATGATGCTGAGTTGCTGGTCCCAAGAACCAAACTCTGGGAACCACTGCTATAGGGCAATTCCCAGAAAGAGAGAGACTTGCCTGCACATCCCTGAGAGCTACGGGAGTATCTCAATCCTGAAGGGAGAAGTCTTAGTGGGTACATCTATCACCAAGACAAATTTAGGACACAGAAGAGACCTAGGTTCTGGGGAGTGACTCCTGGTCTTAAAGACAATGGGTGGTGGGAGGTGTAGCAGGCAGGTAAAGATGTCCTTCACCTTCAACGACCTTCTCTCACAGGAATGTATGACACACCCACCCTCTCAGTTCATCCTGGGTCTAAGGTGATCCCAGGAGAAAATGTGACCTTCCATTGCCATCTAGAGACTGGAACAAGCACGTTCTTTCTGCTCAAGGAGGGAAGACTCAGCAGCCCACAGCGCAGAAATGGGAAATTTCAAGCAGAGTTCCCCATGGGGCCTGTGACCACTGCCCATTCAGGGACATACAGGTGTTTTGGTTCTTACAATGACTTCATGTGGTCTTTCCCCAGCGAGACTGTGGTGCTCCTGGTCACAGGTGAGGAACCCCCAATTTCCCCCCATGTCTTCTCGGGAACCCCAAGCAATGAGGGACGAGTAGGGAGATGTAGACAGGGTACCTGCCACCAAGGCCCCTTTCACGTCCATTTCCTAGAGGCCCAGGTGGTTTTTTGTAGAGAAGAACACGAGAGAGATAAGGATGAGAAGGCATAGAGAGGAGGTGGGAAGACCCCAAGAAACCCCCAAACACTTACTTGTGTCCTTGTCCCCATTGTCAGGAGACGTTGGGGACACCAACCTTGCACCCACAGGACAGCCCTCTTCTGGTGAGTAACAGGGAGAATATCAAAGCCCCCCACTACCATGACCTGTGGGTCCACCGGTCAACCACACAGACACCCTTGCCCTTGGAGCACTTGTATTGTTTTGCATGGGTCAAAGTCAGGGGATGTAAATCAATCAGGTAGCTCGTGAGGAAGATGTGGTAGTGTGGGGGGAAAGTCCACTTGGCTTTGAGGTGATGGGGAGAGCAGGTGGCAATATTCAGCAGAGATATCCAAGTAAATACTGTGGTTGTTGGGAGAAAAAAGCTTCCTTAAAAAAAGATTTTATTTATTTATTTTTAGACAGAGGGGAAGGGAGGGAGAAAGAGAGGGAGAGGAACATCAATGTGTGATTGCCTCTCACACATCCCCACTAGGGACCTGGCCTGCAACCCAGGCATGGGCCCTGAATGGGAATTGAACCAGCAACCCTTGGGTTTGCAGGCCGGCACTCAATCCACTGGGCTACACCAGCCAGGGTGAAAGAAGCTTTTAGAGAGAGGGAATGGCCATGCATATGCCCTATACCAAGTAGGTGGCCAATGGGATTTTAAAAAACAAACGAATGAGGAGGGCAGTGGGACTGGAAATGCTGCAGATGGGCATGGGGAGGGGCTAGGATAGCTTATTTGGGACCTTGAAAAATTGTCAAGACTGAATTTTACTGTGTGTGAGGAAGAGGTGGGAGAAGGGGGGAAGGGTTTTCAGGAACATGTATGAAGGACACATGGACCAAACCAAAGGGGGTAGGATCAAGGGGGGGAAGTGGGGATGGCTAGAGTGGGTGGGAGTGGTGGGGGGAAAATGCAGACAACTGTACTTGAACAACAATAAAAAGAGTTTTAAAAATAAATGGAAAGATTTTTTAAAAAGGAACAAGAAAAAAAAGAAGTGCGATTGACTGACTTAGTGAGGAAGCTGAGGCTCAGAGAGAAAAGAGGCCTGGCGTGAAGACATACACATATTAATCCCAGCACTGAATTCTTTCTCATGTTCGTCTGCCTTTCAACTCTCCCATTCTACTGGTCCAACCAAGCCACTGGGCCCCGAGGATGGGGTGGGGACCTTGAAAAGTAATACAGAATGTCATGGGGCATATCCCAGGGACAGAGAGGCTGGAGTGCAAGAGGCTAACACCATCCCTTGTCCTCACTCATCCACTTTCTTTTCCATCTGCAGATGCTTGGGAGCCCTCCTTGTTCACCACAGAGGTGGTGGGATTCCAGGAAGGTAAGCAGGCCACCAGGCATGTGGCCAGGACAAAAACGGGGTGAGATGACACCCTTAGGCTCCTGTCGGTGATCACCGTTCTTCTGGTCCCAGGTCGTGTCATCTGGGATCACCGAGCTGACACTCTTCTACGGGTGGGTCTCATTTTCCTGGTCCTGGTGGCCCTTGTGTGTCTCCTGGCTGAAGACTGGCTCCGAGGGAAGACAACAGAAGAGATAGCCAATGGGGCTTCAAAACAGGAATGCAGGGTAAGGTTCAGGACCCAGAGAGCCCTGGACAAAGGACGGAGAGATGCAGTGGCCATCGGTAAAGCTGAACTCTGACCTTGACTTTGGGCCACGTGATCTCCAGGTTTGAGGGAAACTAAGGGGCGTGTGCATGGAGTTTGATGCACCATCCTGGAGGGAGCAAGAAGGGAGGATGAAGATGCTAAGTTCTGCTGCAGGAGATCCCACTGTCTCTTAGAACTCTAGGTTATAAGTATTTTTATTGTTGTTGAATTTATTAGGTTGACATTGATTAATTAAATTATATAGGTTTGGGGTATACAATTCTATAATACATCACCTGTATATTGTATTGTGTGTTCACCACCTCAAGCCAAGTTTCCTTCCATCACCATCTATTCCCCCAATTCCCTGTCCTACCTCCCAACTCCACCCTTTCCCTCTGGGAATCACCATACTATTGTCTACGTATATGAGGGTTTTTTGTGTTTGGTTGTTGTTTTGTTTTTGTTTTTTTTGCTTAATCCCTTCACCTTTTCCACCCAGTCCCAATCCACCCCCTCTGACAGCTGTCAGTCTGTTCTCTGTATCTATGACTCTGTGGAATACTACTCAGCTGTAAAAACAAAAAAAAAGGAAGGAAGTCTTACCCTTCAGGACAGCATGGATAGACCTGGAGAGTATTATGCACCATGAGATAAGCCAATCAGAAAAAGAAAAATACCATATGATTTCACTTTTATGTGGCATCTCACATGTGGCTTTAATAAGTGCTCTTTTCTATCACTTCCTCCTAGGTCCCTCGAGGGGGGAGGGGGAAGGCGGAAGTGAGAAGGGCAGAGCTGGTCGATTGTTTGTTATAAAGGTTCCTTGGAGACATTCACATGACATTTCTATTTACTTCTCAATGGTCAGAACTTAACAGCTTGAGAGGTAAGCTGTAAAGGGAGGTTGAGCAAAGTAGCCTTTGTTCCAGGTGGCTCTGTGGCTGGCTCAATACCAATAAAGTGAGGAGGAATGTAATACAGTTGCCCTAGACCACCGCGGTCTCTGTTACAAGCACCTGCTATGCGTCAGGCACTGGCGAAAGTATTGCACACTAAGGCAAACATGATCCCTGACATGACAAGACATTGCCGGGAGTACAGACCTTAAAGAAGCAAGTCATTAAAAAGGGGGTGAGTCTTGTGTTAGAGGAAATACAGAATGCCCTTGGAGGCCATTCCTGTGCAACATTCCATTCAATAAACCTGGAGAAAGGGGTAAGGGGGATGTCTGTTGATGCAAAAGGTGTCTCTTCATGGTCCCAATTCATGCAAAGGCTGAGATGCAAGACAGAGGGCAAAAAACATTCAGTGTGGCTAGAGGTTTGTTTTTCTCTTTCAAGTACAGTTGTCTCCATTTTCCTCCCACCCCTCCCCCCTGCCACCCCAGCCATCCCCACTTCCCACCTTTGAGTCTACCCTCCTTTGGTTTTGTCCATGAGTTTGGATTGTGAGAGAAAGAGTGGGTGATGCTGACCAAGTACAGAAGACAGATCAAGCGTGGTCAAGGGCCCCACATAATAAATGCACATTTTATCCTGGAGGCAGTGAGAACTCATTAAGCTATCTTATCAAGGATGTGATGTGATGAATAGTGCATGGTGTGAAGAGCCTTCTGGTGGGAATGAGAAGAAGAATATGTGTGTGGGAGAGAAAAAAAAACATGGAGAAAAGAGAGAAGAGTTGAAGATGGATCATCTATTTCCAGGGTTGACAACCAGGGACATAAGGATGCCACCAGTAACCCAGAGGGAGGTCCAGCTAGGGGTGATGAGCATATAGTCTTGAGAGTTGGTAAACATACATTCTCCAGCTCTGTTCTCATACTTCAAGATTTCCTTGATTATTTGGGGAGCTTTAGGTTTCAATGTTAACTTTAGAATTAGCCAGCTTTTACAAAATACCCACTTATGTTGTGTGTGAGATTGTATTAAAGCTACAGGTGAATTTAGGGAAAAACCACCACCTTGTCCAATCTTTCAGTCCATAAAAGATTCAAACCAGAGATATGGTTATGTTTCACCATTCAGTTACATGTTCACTGATTTCTCCAAATAATATTCTACAGTCTTCTATGCAGAGAATGTGTATATCTTGTGTTAGATATCCATCAGATATATCTACACTAACATGATTCTTTTATTAAGATTTGTGTATTTATTTTTAGAGAGAGAGGAAGGGAGGGAAAAAGAGAGGGAGAAAAATATCAACATGCTAGAGAAACATCAATTGGTCGCCCCTTGTATGCACCCCATTCAGGGACCTGACCCACAACCCAGCATGTGCTCTGACTGGGGATCGAACAAGCGACCATTTGGTTTGCAGGATGATGCCCAACCCGCTGAGCAGCACCAGTCAGGGCCACAGTGACACGATTCTTATTTCGTGAGTGGTGTCATTCTTTAAATAATGTTATTGCTATTGTTGGTTGCTGGTATTATGAAATAAAATTGACTTGTGTCTGTTGAATGTGTATTCAGTGGTCTCACAAAGTTCACATCTTGATTTTAGCAGTTTTAGGTTATGTTTAGTTCAAAAATGTTTAGGGTTTTTTTGTTTTTCTAACATTGATTTTTCACAGTCTTATTACTTATAACATCCAGGACATGGATAAGTAGGAGTAAAGACAGCAGATGTCCTTTTCTTATACTAATATTGGGGGGAATATTTTTAATATTTCACCATCATGTAAGCTAGTCACTACAATGTCTTGTCAATGTTGCCCGAGTTAGAAAACTCCTTTCTATTCTTCTTGTGCTAAAATTTCTTTCCATTTGAAGATAAGAAAGAACACATCCAATGAGACTAGTTAAGAGGCCCTTACATTATTCTAAGTAAAAGTTGATAATTACTCAGAGAAGGTGGGCACCCCTGACATATTTTAGGCACAGAAGCCAGACTTCATTTTATTGTTTAGAAATAGCCCTGGTTGGTGTGGCTCAGTGGATTGAGTGCTGGCTGGCAAACCAAAGGATCACTGGTTTGATTCCTGGTCAGGGCACATACCTGGGTTGCAGGCCAAGTCTCTGGTGGGGGTTGCATGAGAGGCAGCCACACATTGATGTTTCTCTCCCTCTCATCTCCCTCTCTTCCCCTCTGTCTAAAAATAAATAAAATCTTTAAGAAAAATTTATTTTAAAAAGAAATGATGGCTGAGCACATGGCCAAGTCAGAAAAAACTCTAAGTTGGTAAACTGGGCAACCAAGTGGAGGAAGGAGACATTTTCTTCTAATTCGCATTCATACCCCTTGGTGTTAATATAGAGGCAAACCATGAGAGGTATGGCAGGAAGAAGATATTTGGGGGCAGAGTCAGAGATGCAAATTAGCAATTCATCTTCCCAAAGTGAACTATGTTTCAATTGAAATATGACTGACCTGTAACATTGTGTAAGCTTAAGTTGTGCAGTGTGTTGATTTGATACATTTATACATTGTAACATGATCGCTATTATAGTTTTCGCTAAGCCTTCTATGGTGTCACATGGTTACTCCTTTTTTGTGGTGAGACTAAATTACGATCTAGTCCCTTAGCAATAATAAAATATTGCTGTCTGTCTTCCTTGAACTGTGCATTAGACCTCCAGGACTTATTTATCTACTACTTGCAAGTTTTTTTTTATTTAATTGTTGTTCAAGTACAGTTTTCTGTCTTTTACTCCCATCCCAGCCAACACCCCCCAGCCCTCCCCACCTCCTTCCCATTTCCACCCCCCTAGTTTTTGTCCATGTGTCCTTCATACTTGTGCCTGAAAACCCTTCCCCCTTCCCCCTGAAATTCCTTCCCCTCTCCCCTCTGGTCACTGTCAGCCTGTTCTCTATTTCAGTATCTTTGGTTATATTTTGCTTGTTTGTTTTGTTTTGTTGTTTAGGTTCCTGTTAAAAGTGAGATCATACTTGCAAGTTTTTACCCTTAAACATCATTTCCCCATTTCCCCCACCCCAAGCCCCTGGTAACCACCACCGTGTTTCTACAAGTTCCAGCTTCTATAGGTTTCACATACAAGTGAGATCATACAGTGTTTGTCTTTCTTTGTCTGACTTATTTGACTTTGCCTAATGCCCTTAAGGCTCACCCAGGTTGAACCAAATGGCAAGATTTCTTCCTTTCTCGTGGCTGAATTGTGTGTGTGTGTGTGTGTGTGTGTGTGTGTGTGTGTGTGTGTGTGTGTGGCAGGCACAGTTGTCCCTCTACACCACAACACTGCTCAAGCCTGTCTCCTTTGCTGAAGGACCATCTGGTTTTGTAGGTCAATGCTACAGTACCCCGGTCTCATGGTTATAGAAGAGGTGACATGTAAAGACTGAGCAACTGTATTCAAATATCAATTAAAAAATTCTTTTAAAGGAAAGAAAAAGCAAAGACTTAACACAGCATCTCTCTCCTGGCCTCTCCCAGCCTCTTCCTTCTGCATTTACCCAGGTTCTTGTGAATTCCCAATTGCAACAAGACAGGATCTCTCCAGTCTGCCTTCCTTGTCTTTCCTCATCCCATTTCATACAACAAATCTACTGCAGAATCAGGAGACATGGGAGAGGCCCCAATTTGATCTCTGCTAATAAAAAAAAAATTTTAAATTTTTAAAAACCTGTGTTCTTATGGCAACCTATGTCCCCTCTATCTCCCCTTTCCATTTGCCCAAAGTAGGGAAAGTCGATCCTTCTTAGAATGATGGCACCCTAGGATTTGCCACCTCTCCCCAGTTATGACCCCACCAGCACCACCCACCCCCAGGGAGCAAAGTTTCCCAGCTCTAACTTACAGACAGGTTTCGAGCTTCAGATTATTGAGCCAATTCTGCAGATGAAGGTACATCTCTCTAGACTTACCAGCCCATGGATGTGGAGACCGATTTCCCTGAGGAATTACCGACACCTCCTGTCCCTCCTCAACCCCTGGAAACTGGTTTCTCACCCCACCGGTTGTTTTCATGACAAACACTAATGAGCTTCCTGGAACTCACAGTGGACACTTCTGAGCCTTTTATCTGTGTTCTGCTGCTGGCTGCCTCTGACCACTTCCTTCTCGCCTTGTCACTTCACCGGCTTCCTCTCTGCATTCGACTGTTCTTGCAACACCAGCTTTGCAGCCTCTCCAACACCAGAGCTCTGGGGTTCTCCTGCAGACCCTCCTTTCTCCGGACACAAGTCTAGGGGGATCTCATTGACATCCATAGTTTCAATTTCTCCAAGATGGATAACCAAACATGTTTCACTGAATGCTAATTTTTTTTCCTGGAACTTCAGGTCATTTTATGACGTGTTTCCAACTAATCTGAA